AGGGATCCTGAGCTGGCAGGGCACAGGGATCCTGAGCTGGCAGGGCAGCCCCACCTGCTGTTGCTGCTGCTGCTGGGCTCAGACTGGAGCAGCACTCAGGGACACTGAGCACAGTCCCCGTGTCCTGCCTGTGAATGCTTCTGGTGATGAGGTGAATTTAGGGATGAGATGGCACCTATCCAGACACTAATTAGAGAGGGAAGTGCAGCCTCCCCCTGGGAGCAGCAGGTAGGTGCAGATTACCCAGCTGTGTGCCTCACTTTGGGAATGTGACCATGCCACCAGCGTGTCACCTTCGTGCCTCCTGGCAGCTGCCCTTGGCCCCAAGGGCTGTGTAAGCCAGAGGCACCTTGCAGAGTTGCAAACTGCAACACTAATTAAAGAAAATGCACTAATTAATTAACCGACTTCCCATGAGTTTCCACATAAAGAGCCACTGCACAGGCAGTTTCTACAGCAAGAGGATGTTATCTGCAAGGACGAACAAATGAGACTCAGTTGGCATTTCTGATGAAACAAAGGTTTGACAGCAAACTGGGAAGAGGTTCAGGAGGGTGACAGGAACCTCTGACAGCTCACAGGTACCCCTGGTACCCCTGGCAGGGTCCTGCACTCCTGCCTCAGGGGTGTAGGAACAGTGCTCCTGCTCAGCTGTGCTCACCTGGGCTAAGGGGGGAGGATGCAGACACTTTATGTGCTGTTTGGACTTCAAGCAAAGGGATGAAGTTGTCCTGTGCTCCAAACCTCTGCTACCTTGCTCTTGGCACCCTGTTCACATGAATCATTTGGAGTTTGAGAGAAACCCTCACCACACCCTCAGGAGCTGATCCCAGAGCTGACCACGGCTTCAGTCTCAGCACCTCTGAGTTCAGCTTCCAGCCACTGACTTCTGTTTGCTGCCAGGTCAGTGCTTTCTCCAGGAAGGAGAAGACATTTCCCCATTATGGCAAATCCCTCCTCTGTCTACTCAGTTTATTAAAATGACTGAAGTCTTCTTGGCTGGAATTCTCTCAGCCCAAGTCACAGACTCACTGAGGTTGGAAAAGTCCTCCCAGCCCATGGATCCCCCCTGTGCCCCATCCCCACCCTGTCCCCAGCCCAGAGCACTGAGTGCCACAGCCAGGCCTTCCTGGGACACCTCCAGGGCTGGGCACTCCAAACCTCCCTGGGCAGCCCCTGCCAGGGCCTGACCACCCTTTCCAGCAGGAAATTCCTGCTGATGTCCAACCTGAGCCTCCCCTGGCACAGCTGGAGGCCGTTCCCTCTCCTCCTGTCCCTTGTTCCCTGGGAGCAGAGCCCGACCCACCCCCAGCTCTCCCCTTCCACAGCCTCTGTGCCCCCACATGCACTGTCCTGCCTCACCAACATCACCCCTGGGGTGAGTGTACCCTGACCCCCCTCCCACCTGCCCGAAGACCAGGAGCTCTGGGGGCACTGGGGGCAGAGGACGAGCTGTGTCACATCCCGAGGAGGCAGCAGGAGGTCCCCAAGGCAAAGCCACCTCCCCAGGGACAGGCAGCTCCGTGCAGGGCACGTGGCCCTGGGGACTCACCTTCTCAGGCCTCTTGCTGGCAGCAGCAATCTGGCTGATGGGCAGGGCAGAGGTGTTGCTGGCAAAGATGCAGTGAGGAGGGATCACCTGTGGAGGGGCGGGAGGCACTGTCAGAGCTCAGGCTCCAGAGGGGGATCCAGAGCCCTGGGAGAGCAGCACCAGCCCCTGGGAACCCTGGCAAACAGGGCACGCTGGGTTTTCTCATTAGAAACTAGTTCTAAAGCAGCAGCCTTAAGTCAGCCAGCCCTGACCTCCCCTGAACCCTCCCCAGGGGTGCAGAATCAGTCCCAGAGCTCCCATGTTTCTGCCAGACCACAGCAACCCCACGAGACACTGCAGGAGGGGCCCACACCAGCCCCTTGGCCGTACAACTTTTTTCCCCCCTTGAAGAGAACAGAGCAGTGGCAGCAGGGCAGGGACAGCAGCAGAAGGACTGTGAGGTGTGGAGATACCCAAGGGCATCACTGTCGTATCAGTGCCCTCAGACAAATGTCCTCAGCTCTTTTTGAAGCAGCTCCCAGGAGTCAGGGAACATCAGAACTGCCCCATTCAGCTAAAAACTCCTCACTGAGCAGGGAGTGTCCTCAGTGAACAGAAAAGCCGCCCTTGATGCTCACCCACGTCCTGACACAGCTAACTGTGACCAAGAACCAAACTGCAGCACAAAGGGGGTGGGACAGACCCAGCAGCACAGCCCAGGACCCCTCAGCCCCCAGGGCCCACGTGCAGCAGGAGCTCAGGACTGATACTCACGGCCTCCACCTCCTTCAGCACTTTGTGCTTGACGTTGATGTCCTCGAACACGGCCTCGATGACCATGTCTGCCTTCTCAAAGCCCTTGTAGTCCAGCTGGCCCAGCAGGTTGCTGAGGATGGAGTCCCTCTCAAACGATGTCAGGCTCTTCTTCTTGACCTTGCTGCTGAGCCTGGGGAGGGACAGCTCTGTCACAGGCTGCTGGGGGTGCACCACAGCACCAGGGGCACCCCTCCTGCCCTGCCCCCCCAGAGCTGGCACCCGAAACTCCAGCTCCAAGCCCGCAGGACTGGCACCCTGTGTCCTGGCCCCTTCTTTCTACGTGGAAGCAGGAGAGCCCTGCTCACACAGCTCAGCTGAGGGTTGGAGCTGACACCCCAGAGCTGAGCACTGCTGCTGCTGAGCCAGGAGGGCAGGGAAGGAAATCCAGCTTGCCAGAGCTCCGAGCTGGGATGCCTCCCCTGACATGGGCCTTGGCTCTAGAGGTTACTGCTAAATCTAAAAGCAAAGCAACCCCCTGTTAGGGCTCTACCTCCCTCAGGCTGACTGCACTGGGCCTGTTCTGCAGCCATATCCCAGCACACTGCACGGGACAACCTTAAGGTAAAGCTTTCCTGTGGCATCAGACAGCTCCTTCCAGCAGAACAGAGGTGTCAGGAGCTCCTGACAGCAGAGGAATGTTGTGACTAAAGGCAGCCCTACCCCACCCCGAGCCAATCCCTCTGGACTCACATACCCCTTGTAGACCTGCTGCTGGCCCCTGTCCAGGCCCTTCTGTGTCGTGTCCTTCAGAATGGTCTTCATGCCCTTATCCACGGAGACCTGGGCGATCCCGGCCCCCATGAGCCCTGCTCCCAGCACAGCCAGGGTCCTGCACGGGGAAGGACCAAGGGGACACACTCAGAGCTGGAAATGGCTGAATATCCATCGTTCCTGTCACACTCACACAGATCCCACCCACCCAGGCACCGCTTTCACAGAGGCCACACGAGAAGTTTCACCCACAAGTGAAGCCTCTGAACCACAGCAGATCAGCCTCCTGGAGGCTGGAATCCTCTGCTCTGCCACACAGCTCTCCAGGGCTCCAGGCCAGTCACTTCCAAGAGCCTGGCACTGCTCCTTCAGGTGTCCCACACCTGCACTTACTTGACCTCTCGCTGAGGGGCCCCAAACTTGTTCTTCTTGCAGTGCACCTGCCCGTGGTAGAGCCCCATCAGCGCCTTGGATTCCTTGGTCAGTGCAAGTTGGCCAAAGTTCTGGGAGAAAGGGAAGGGGGAAGCTGGGAGTTAACAGCTGTCTCACTGCCAGCACGTCAAAACCACGGCAAGGGGAGACACAGGCCCCCCGTGCGACCTGCTCAGCAATGGGACAGGGGCACAGGTGACCTCTGGGGAGAGGCACCTTCTGAGTCAAGCACTGTCCACCCTGCCCCATCACCTTCTCCTCAGCACCAAAAGGACGTGGAGCTGCTGGAGAGAGTCCAGAGGAGGCCCCAGAGATGCTGCCAGGGCTGGAGCCCCTCTGCTCTGGAGCCAGGCTGGGAGAGCTGGGGGGGGCTCAGCTGGGGAAGAGAAGGATCCAGGGAGACCTTGGAGCCCCTTCCAGAGCCTAAAGGGGCTCCAGGAGAGCTGGAGAGGGACTGGGGACAAGGACTGGAGGGACAGGACACTAGGAACAGATCCCACTGCCAGAGGGCAGGGAGAGATGGGACATTGGGAAGGAATTGTTGGCTGGGAGGGTGGGGAGGCCCTGGCCCAGGTTGCCCAGAGAAGCTGTGGCTGCCCCTGGATCCCTGGAAGTGTCCAAGGCCAGGTTGGACGGGGCTTGGAGCAACCTGGGCTGGTGGAAGGTGTCCCTGCCCATGGCAGGGGGTGGAATAGAATGAGATTTAAGGTCCCTTCCCACCCAAACCATTCTGCAATTCCACAATCTTGCTTCCTCAGTGGCAGGGACTGGATTTCCCTGACACAGGACCCTTCCTCCCCACATGCATCCTGCCCCCAGGGATCCAGGTGGAAGAGCCCTGTCCTCAGGCTTCAGGAAAAATCCTTACAAACAGGTCAGTTCCCTGTGACAGCAGCAGCTGATCTGCTGATTCTGCACGATCACGGAGAGGCAACAAAATCTAATCCTGCAAAACCTCCCAGCACTCAGCACGGAAGTTTCTCAGCAAGACAAAAGACAAGCACAGGGAGACACAGAATTGAATGTTGCCTGAGCCAAGTTAGCCATGGAAAAGCACGGAATGCAGTCTGGAGCAGGCTGCACCTTCCTTCACCACTGCCCTGCGAGTCAGAGCCTTGTGAAAACATCCAAAACAAAGCCTGGAAGAGAAGCTGCAACTCCTGTCCTGGGGGACAGAGGGAGGCAGTTAAAAAAAGAAAAAAAAAAGACACGACACTGACACTTATTATTCTTCAGAGGTTCTGGGAAGATCTCCATCCTGCTGCTGTTCTGGGGAAAGAACCATCCATTCTCTGCTGTAAGGAACAGAGTATCCCCAGGCTTTTGTTCAGCACCAGACCAAACGTGGGTGGAATGCACAACCAGCACGGAATGGGCACTGGTGAGGTAGGGAGGGAGCTCCAGCTCCAGCTCAGAGCAGGCCTTGCCACCACAGGGAACAAAAGGAGCTACAAAGCACTGCAGGGAAGTGAGAGATGGAGTTCACTGGCATTTAAGGGGCAGGGACACGAGACATGACCCAAATGCTCAGAGATAATCAGGTGAAAACGTGGCTCTGTGGGGGGCTCAGGTCTTGCAGAACCGTCAAGGTAACCCACCAGTGACACTGGGCACAGCCAGAGTTACCCCTTCGGCCCCAGGAATCACACATTTGAGCACAACTGCAGTAAAACTGGGACCAGCGAGGAAAACTAATGTGGGGCAGGTGGGTTTTTAAGGCAGAGACAAGGGCAGAGAAAGGGAGGGATCAAAAACTGTGTGTGTGCAACAAATGTGCACAACCTTCTCCAGTCCCACCTCTCCTCATGTGCCAGACCCTCCAGACCTTTAGCTACACACAGAGAATCCACGTGCTGCTGTGCCAAAGCTGGGGTGTTCTGGTTACTCCCCCCCCAAAGCTAACACAGAGAGGAGGGAGAAAAGGCCCAAAGTGGTGTCCCAGACTCCTGACACACAGTCCTGTGGCTGCATTCAGGCCTCTGTCCCAGCCCCAGTGCCACAGGGAGGGGCAGGGAGCCAGGCAGCACTTGGAGCAGGCTGTGAGGAACCCCCTGTGTGTGGTTAGACACAGATCCCCAGGCAGAGAGTGAACTGATTCCTGCCAGGACCCATCCCCTCACCTGGGATTCCATGAGGTATCCGGCGTCACGGCCCTGATCCAGACCCGTCTTCACAACCTGGGCCAGGAGCAACAGAGACACAGCTCAGTCCTGCCTGCAAACACCCACACCTGAGCAGGGTTACCTGCTGGCCCCGTGACCACCCCCCCCCAATATTCCAGGCACATTTCAGACTCCCTGGGTCCTGCCCCTGCTGCTCAAGGCAGGGCTGGGAGTCGCCCTGTCCTTCCAGCACAGGACAGGTGAGGAGTTTTCCATCAGGAGTTTTCCTCTGGAGCCATCCCTGGTGGTTTCAGGAGCTGTGCTCAGAGTCATCCACGGGTTTTAGAGAAGTCTTGGCAACAACTTAAATAGTGAAAAGTCATCTTAAAATAAGGGTTCAACCCTGGAGTGTGCCTGTAAGTCCCACAATGCTTGTGTAACCCAGAGGATTGACTTTTAAAGTACTGTGTGGCCAGTGTTATGAACATTACAACAATTTCTGTTTTTCTGGCTTCATACAGGCTCCCTGAACTCTTTAGAGACTGCACAGGAAACCTGGAAAAACTGCAGCTGAAAGTTTCATGGACAAAACATTCCAGCTAAGACTCCCCTTAACTGGGATTCCTGCTCTACCCCTCACTGGGACCGGTCCCACATAAACTGGTGATCATATTTTGGGCAGTGCCTCTGAATTCTGCTCAGCACAGCACAGCACTCAGTCAGCACTCCTCAGGACTGATCTGTGTGGGGATCAGCATGTTGGGTGGATCAGGGGAGGGAACCACCTTCCCTCTGCCTGTGCCACGTTACCCCCCAGCTCCCCCTGCCCCCTGGGTCCTCCCACCTCTCTGTGTTACCTCGATGATCTTCAGGGGAGCGGGGTAGAGCCCTTTGGTTTGCTTCTGAACTTTGCTCTCCACCGTCTTGTAAACCTGCTGCCTGACGAAGGGCAGGGCCATGGCATAGTCTGTGAGCTCTGCAAGGAGGGACAGGGTCAGCACAGGGCTCTGTGCACAGCCAGCCCTTCAGGGTTAACTGCAGAGCCCAGTACTACAAAGGGGAATGCTGCAAACCTGCGATGGAAACGTGCCCCTGAAAGCAGCCACGGGCAGCAGGGGCTGCTCTCCACGGCCTGTCCCAGGGGCAAGGCTCATCCTCCCCACACAGTGGTGACAGGCTGAGCCCTGGGGAGCAGGACTCCCCCAGGGATGTGCCCATTTCTGGGCTCTGCTAAGGAGAAGCAGCATGGAGCAGACCCACAGGCCTCTTCCCACCTGACTACACAAGCCTGACGCAGAACTTGCCACCGTAGCTCTGAAGATGCAGAGTCTCCTGGAGGCAGCTGCTCCCTCTCTCCCTGAGGCCTGGCTCCCTTCCAGCAACCTCAGGAGCCACCAAGTCCAGCTCTGCCAGAGCCCAGACCTGCAGAGCAATGTTTTCCCCACCAACCCACCCGGCTCAAGAGGTGATTCCAACATGAAACCACCTTGTTCTGGAAACGGAAATAAGCAGGAGAGTGAGCAGAGCCCAGAGAAGCCAAGCTGGATTCGTCACAGTCCCCTGGGATTTGGCCCTGCTGCCCACACACTTACTCTGCATCAGCCCCTTGGACCTTTTGGCAGACACAGTCTTGTTGGCCAGGCCCCTGGCAAAGCCAATGGCCACCTCCTCCAGGTATTCCATCGTCCGCACCTCCGGAGTCTTCACACCCGGCCCTGGGAAGCACAGAGGACACAGCAGGAGTTACCCCTGAGGGATGGGGATGAGGAGGAGCCAGGACCAGACAGCAACATCATGGGGCCTTTGAACTGCTACCACCCCACTCCCCCCTCCTGTTGGACCTTTCTTGGTTCTGAACAAGGGTGGGAAGGCCCAGCAGGGACGATGTGAAGGCCCCAGGGGATTTATATAGACAGCAATAATCTGGAATAATGCTGGAATGTCAGCTCCCAGCAGGAGCAGGGCCAAGTTCAAAGGCACATCCAGCTCTGGAATTAAACCAGGTTGCTCAGGAACACCTTCTGCCAGTCTCTGAACACCTCCAAGGACGGAGGTTCCATGACCTCTTTGGACCCTCTTCAGCTCCTGAGCATCTTTGTGCCACTTGTGCCCTTTGCTCCTCAAACCTTTTACTTGGCATAACTGCAGGCACTTGGTATCCCAAGGGAACTGGGGGGTTCTGCCTCCCCTCCCTTGTGGCACCCCTCCTTTCTTCTGGGGCACAAACACTGCACCAACAGGCAGACAGCATTTAGGAAGTGCTGTGTCCCTGAAAATTCCCTGGACAGGAGCCAATGTCCAGCAAACCCCAACCTTTGAACTCAGGTGCAGGAAATCTCTCACTTGCTTTAGCTGCTGCAACACACAGGAACTCCTGGCCCAACTTAAAGCTCTCCCACAACGAGGCAAGTCACCACCAAACCAGCTTTAGCAACCTCTGAGGGTGGGTTGCACAATTCCCAAGCACGGGAATCCTCCTCATTTCCAGACAGTTGTATCATCAGGGCAGGATCCAGCACAGGGCTGAACAGGCAGCTGTGAGGAGCTGCCAGAGGCAAACACCGAGCCATGAATGACAGGGCAGTGCCCAGGGAGGCTGCACAGGGCCACCAAGAAGACCCTGCAGGCAAATGTGCAGCCTTGGGCCGCCCCTGAACTCGCTGAACAAACCTGGTGAGGTGACAACCCCGTATCCTGGAGCTGGGCAACCTCGTTCACCTTCCCACAAACAGCTCTGAACACGCCCAGCTGCTGCAGAGAGTCCTCAGAGCCAAGGAAACCCTCCCCAGACACCCCCTGACACAGGAGGTGGGGAAAAACAAAAGCAAAACAGGGGAAAAAAAGGCAAAACAACCCCCCTTCCTCTTTTATGTCCCACTACTCTTCCCCTCAACAAAAGGTGAGGTCTTCAAATTTAAGGTTTTGACCATGGAAGCCCAGAATGGTTTGGGTGGGAAGGGACCTTCAGGGTCGTCTTGTTCCATGGGCAGGGACACCTTCCACTAGTCCAGGTTGCTCCAAGTCCCCTCCAACCTGGCCTTGGACACTCCCAGGGATCCAGGGGCAGCCACAGCTTCTCTGGGAATTCCAGCCCAGTCCCTCCCCACCCTCACAACCAGGAATCCCTTCCTAATATCCCATCCTCTGGCAGTGGGAAGCCATTCCCTGTGTCCTGTCCCTTCAGGCCTTGTCCCCAGTCCCTCTCCAGCTCTCCTGGAGCCCCTTTAGGCTCTGGAAGGGGCTCCAAGGTCTCCCTGGATCCTTCCCTTCCCCAGTTGAGCCCCCCCAGCTCTCCCAGCCTGGCTCCAGAGCAGAGGGGCTCCAGCCCTGGCAGCATCTCTGGGGCCTCCTCTCTCTCCACGTGTCCCCTCTCTTTGCAGAACAACTTGCATGTGCACCCAGCAGAGCCCAGAAGCTGCTCCTGCTGGGGGGGGTCTCTCAGCAAGAAGCAAACGAAGCAGTAGGAGCCCTGTGGCAGCTCAGGAAAGCTCCCAGGGGGAAGTCTCCTGCCTTGGCAGAATGTCAGAGCCAGCCCAGGGCAGAACAGGCCAAACAAAACAACACATTTCATTTTACAGGCGGCACAGCAAACACAGCCCGGAGCTGCTGCATAACCCACATTTCAGCAATGCCCAGTGGATTCCAGAGAATTTACTGGAAATCTGAGAGCGTTTGGGAGTTCAGAGCTCAGACCTCACCAGCTCCCAAACTCTCACCTCACCATTCAAGGCTGGGACCTTCAGTTTTGGTGACCTGATGTGCCACACGATGCCAGAGCCCGATATCCCCTTTCCAGGCTGCTCCACACCAACAAGTGCTGCATTTTGACAGCCCAGCTGAAGGAAAGAGCTGCTCATTTTTCAGTCTAAGCTGTGAGAACCACTCAGAGAAGGCAGCTAATCCCCCACACAGGGGGTTACTTTACCTGCAATCACCTCCCAGCGTGTTGTCGTGCCCTAACCCGGGAGCTCCGAGCTCTCCATTCCCACCTGGTTCCTTCATAAATGGCACAAGCCAGAATGGGATCCAGGGAATGCTGCAGAGTTCCCTGCTGAAGGAGAACTGGTTGCACCCCGTGGAACTGCCTCCTGATTGATGTTGTCTGTCTCCTTCAAAGCTTTCTATAATCAGCTACAGCATCAGCCCAGGTACAGCTGCTTTCCCCCAGGCACAGAGAGAACAGGAGCCCCTGGCAGGAACCTCCTGGCACTGGCAGCTCTTTGGATGAACAAGGAATGCCTCCAATGTCTGCATGCAATTTGTATTTTTGTGTTCCTCCTGTGTGCTTAACGTGGGCTGAGCCAGGATTCCCAAGAGCTCCTCAGAAAGCTCACTTTCCCTTCCAGCAAGACAGGGCAATTGTGGGTATAAAAAGCCACATTTGCTGGCTCTTAAAAGCCAATTCACATCCAGGCAGGTATAAAGTGGGAAGGTGTATCCAGGCAACTTTAACTCCAGCCTCAGAACCATGAATCCCTTTTATGAGCACAAATACAGCAAAGGATTTTTTCCTGGGCTGATCCCACAGGGATCCAGGGAGACCTGAGAGCCCCTTCCAGAGCCCCTTCCAGAGCCTAAAGGGGCTCCAGGAGAGCTGGAGAGGGACTGGGGACAAGGGCTGGAGGGACAGGACACAGGGAATGGCTTCCCACTGCCAGAGGGCAGGGAGAGATGGGATATTGGGAAAGAGTCCTTCCCTGTGAGGGTGGGGAGGCCCTGGCCCAGGTTGCCCAGAGAAGCTGTGGCTGCCCCTGGATCCCTGGAAGTGTCCCAGGCCAGGTTGGACGGGGCTTGGATCAACCTGGGTTGGTGGGAGGTGTCCCTGCCCATGGCAGGGGGTGGGACAGGAGGAGCCTTACCCAGGTCACTCTGGATTCTGTGATCCAGCTGAGCTCTGGCACATGGCACAGACCACACCCGAGGGCTCCCCTGGCATTGCTCAGGGAAGGCAACAGCACCTTTTCTTTCCATTTAGTTTCTTCCCCCTCAGGCACCCTGCAGCTCCAGGGCAGCCCCAGCTGGAGCAGTGGCTTTCATCCCAGCTCCTGGGGGGAGCTGCTCACACCTTTCACAGGAGGCTCTGCAGGGTTTAGTCCTCACAAACTCCCCCATTTAGTCGCCTGCCAAGAAAGCTGCCCTAGTGAAGGGACAGCAGAATTGTTCACCAGCCTGCTCAGCACCTGGAATCCTGTAGTTTGCAAGGAATTCCTCTGTCCAGCTGACAGCCAGCTGGCAGCTCAGAGGCCTGAGCCACTGGGGGCTGCCTTCTCCAAGATCTCCTCCAAGATTACCATCTGCAGGCTGCAGAAACAGCAGACATCCCTCACCCATTGTCCTTCCATTAGGGGCTGCAATCTGTCCTCTGCCGTGATAAATGAGGAATGTGGGCCCTTATCTGTACAATTAGCTTAAGCAAGACAGCCAGCAGCCTGCCCTCCCTGCTGACCTCTCCCTGTTCCTCTCCCTGCTCGCTGGGCTGCAGCAGCAGCTCAAGGTCCTCAAAGGTCCCCGTGCTCCCAAAGGGGGGACCAGGGATCCCCAGGCAGCCCCTGTGCTCTGCCCCCACCCGCTGCACCAGCACCTTCTCCCCCCAGTCTGGTGAGGGCAGAGCTCCCCTGGCAGGCAGCACACCCAGAAAGCCAGAGGCATCCCCGTGTCTGACCTAGGGGTTCCACCACCTGGTCCACCAGCCCCATCTTCTTGGCTCTGTCGGCGCGGATGTTCCTCCCGGTCAGCATCATGTCGAAGGCAGCGGGGAGTCCCACCTGGAAGGGCAGGAAGGGGATGGCAGAGTGGGAGCAGGCCATGCACAGGGGGCTGGGGAGTGAAGCTTTTCTCTCACTCACCATCTTTGGTAGCCTCTGGGTGCCCCCTGCTCCGGGCAGCAGGCCCAGCAGCACCTCAGGAGTGGCCAAGACCGTTTTCTTGTCCTTTGTTGCCACTCTGTAGTGACAGGCGATGGCGACCTTTAAAAAGGGAGGGACAAGGAAAGGTTTCCCTGGGAAAGACCACAGAGAACTGGGTATTCATCACACAGCTCTCTCCTACACCCTGCCTCAGCCTCCCTCCCGACCCCAATTCCCTAATCCAACTGCCCAAATTCCCCCTGTGCTCACTGATGGCTCCTTCTGGGATACGACAGCAAACAGGTAGGAGATGAGCACAAAACCACCAAACTGAGCCACGCTGGTTTTAAATCTCACCTAGACCATCAAGGGCTTCACTAATTCACTACACTGACAGCATGGTCCCATCTACTGATCAGCCATGATTCCTGGTTTATCCCTGGATAAATCCACACATGTCACCCCAGTGTGTGCAGAAAGCTGCGACTGCTTGAGAAATCCATACAAACCAAGGAGACTCCATTCCAAGGTTATTCCGCTTTAGTAACCACTCTGCTCCAGGAATCAATTTACAGAAACCTCAGGTGGAGATTCCCAGGCAAACACTGGATCCAGCTGAAGGGGCAGGCAGGAATGGGGTGTGCAGGCAGGGAGGAGCCTGGCCGGGCCCCCACTCTCACAACAACCTTGTGGGGAATGGGAGTTGCTGGGATACAGGACTCACTCCATCTGAGCAGCAGGAATTTCCAGGCTGGGCTCTGCCAGCAGCATTGATGCAGATCCAACACCTGCTGGGAACAGCCGGTTTTCCCCGGGACTCTCATCCCAACACCAGCCTGGCCCACACAGGCTCCTATTTGATTTGCTCTCTCTCCACAGCAGCAGCAGAGCCCCGAGGCACAGCCAAGCCATTCCCTTGCCACAGACTCATTTGCATGAAGCAACGAGCCCTCCTCAGGCCCCACACCCCTCTCCCAGGGCTACTCCTGCCGGGATCCCTTGGACAGTCCCAGAACTGCACTGCCAGCTCCCACTCCTGCCAGGAGAGCCAGGACTGCCCAGTACCTCCAGGCCTCCTCCCAGGCAGCTGCCACTGATGGCAGCAACGACAGGCTTTGGAGAATGCTCGATTTTTTCCAGCATCTTCTGTCCGTCCTGAGAGAGCTGAGTCACTTCCTGAGCGGTCTTGCAGGCTTCCAGCATGCTGGGGGAGGAGAGAGGGATCAGAACGGGACAGGCACTGGGCAACAGCAGGGAAATGGGGGGGGTTTCAGCCACTTTGTGCCTCTTTTCCCACAATCTCCAGTGCCTGACAGGCAGGTAAGAGCTGTTTAGGCCCCAGTTTTGGATCAGACAACACGGGGAGGGTAAGCCCAGCAGGGTAAGGCCCTGCCCACTGCCACGGGCTGTGCCTGTGGCACTGAATGGGATCCCTTTGCCAGGGCTCTGAAAGCCCTTGGGAGGGGAGGAAGGGTCAGAGGAAGCCTCGAAGCGCTTGCCAGGAAGGGGAGAGCCCAGGATCACTTTTTAGAGCAGCAGATGGCCAGTGCTCTGATGCCACACTCCATCAATTAGAGACTCCCCAGGCCAATTATCCTCCCAGAGACCAGCAACGTTTGCCAGGCAGGAGCAATCTGGGAGGCTGGAGGTGCTGGGGCCAGAGGCACCTCTTAACCACAGCCTGGCCTCTGCTCTGCTCACCAGCTCTACCTACCCCTCCTTCCCACCTGCACAGGGACAAGGGCAGCCAAAAAGGGAACGAGGTTTTGGGGGGCCTATTGGTAATTCACCTTCTTTCCTCAGAGCTTTCTGGCTTTTAATGTCTTTGAGCAACTGCTCTGCCCTGCCCAGGGTCAGTGCCTGGAGCCAACAGCACTCCAGGTCCCAGTGGGCACCCACAGGACGACCCCACACCCTGGAAAAGCTGCCCAGGGAGCCTGGGAGGCTGCTGAGCACAGGGCAGAGCTCCAAACCCTACCCAGCAGAGGGGCCAGGCTGGAGGGCTGCCAGGCACTCCAACCCAGCCAGAACGAGTCCTGCATGTAAATGATCCGCCCGCTGTGTCCCTCAGGGAAGGACAGTGCCCACCCCGGAGCCAGGATGGGGTTCCTTGGCTGCACCCCAGCACGAGGAAGGAGTGACCAAGTGTCACAGCCCAGAGGGGGCTGAACGACTCTCCACGTCCCTCCTTGTCCAGGTTTCACTCCACGTGAGCACCTCTGGCATCCCGTGCACGTGGATGTCCCTCCACCCCGGGGGCACGCCAGGGACAGACAAACTGCTGCACTGCAGGGACAAACTGCACTGCACTCCAGGCCCTGGCTGCTGGGGTTCAGGGAGAGCTCCCTCAGCCCCCTCCACCCCTGTGCTTACTTGAGATCTGCCCCGGCGATGAAGCAGCCCGGCTTGGAGGAGATGAGCACGGCGCTCCTCACGGCCTCGTTGGCCCAGATCTCGTTCATGACCTCCGTGAACTCGGCGCTCAGCTGCTGGGACAGGGTGTTCACCTGGGGGGAGAAAAGCAGCCTGAGCTCAGACAGGTGAGGAGCAAAGCACCCTGAGCAGGGAGCTCAGACAGGAGAGGAGCAAAGCACCCTGAGCAGGGAGCTCAAAGGGGTGAGGAGCAAAGCACCCTGAGCAGGGAGCTCAGACAGGTGAGGAGCAAAGAATCCTGAGCAGGGAGCTCAAAGGGGTGAGGAGCAAAGCACCCTGAGCAGGGAGCTCAGACAGGTGAGGAGCAAAGCACCCTGAGCTCAGACAGGTGAGGAGCAAAGCACCCTGAGCAGGGAGCTCAGATGGGTGAGGAGCAAAGCACCCTGAGCAGGGAGCTCAGACGGGTGAGGAGCAAAGAATCCTGAGCAGGGAGCTCAGACAGGTGAGGAGCAAAGAATCCTGAGCAGGGAGCTCAGACAGGTGAGGAGCAAAGAATCCTGAGCAGGGAGCTCAGAGAGGTGAGGAGCAAAGCACCCTGAGCAGGGAGCTCAGACAGGTGAGGAGCAAAGCACCCTGAGCAGGGAGCTCAGATGGGTGAGGAGCAAAGAATCCTAAGCAGGGAGCTCAGACAGAGCCCAGCTCTGCTGTGGGTTGGTCCAGCTTGTGCTGGAACACAGGGAAGAAAACCACCACCACCCCTCAGCCCTGCATCAGGTCATCTTTGATTAGGAAGTTCCTTCTTAACCTCCCCAACAGTGGGTTTGTGACCTCAGACATTGATTTTATGAGCTCATAAACTTTTTTTGTGGTTTTTTTTTTTGTTTTGTTTTTTTTTTTTTTTTTTTTTTGTTGTTTGGTTGGTTTGGGTTTTTTTTTGTTTTTCTGTATAATCATAGAATCACAGAATGGGTTGGGCTGGGTGGGACCTTTAAGGGTCATCTCATCCAAGCCCCTGCAGTGAGCAGAGACACCTCCCAGCAG